TGGTGCACACTTTAACTCAAGCGTCAACTTTATACATTATCAATTCAACTCCGGGTATTTTACATGGATTTATTAACGCGTGATGAACATGATAATTTTGCTACATCCGGATACATGTGGTAACCTTCGTAGGTTCTAATAGCATGTGGTATCATGTGCAAAAGATATCTCATGTTCGTCTTATCAACACGATGACGTCGCAAGAACCATAACTGAAATCGAATAAAACATTAAATCAAATAAAAAATAAATACATATATAAAGGAAATAAAAAAAATAAATAATAAAAAAGATGTTTTGCCGACGTGGTTGATGTACCTTGCAATATGAAACCTCTAGATCTTTTCACACCATCATCAGCGGCGGTATTGCCAAAGAGAAGATTGTGTATTTGGTCTTTTAATTCCGTGTTATATTCAGGCTATTTTTTGCACTAAGGAATTAATCTTTTTTGTGATTCTTTGCGTCCTCCATAATGTTCTGTATTTTGTTATTTTATTCTGAATTTTTATATAACTCTCTCTCTCTCTCTCTCTCTCTCTCTCTCTCTCTCTCTCTCTCTCTCTCTCTCTCTCTCTCTCTCTCTCTCTCTCTCTCTCTCTCTCTCTCTCTCTCTCCCTCTCTCTCCCTCCCTCCCTCACATTGTCTCTCCCTCTTTTACCCTCTCACTCTCCTTCCCTCACCCTCTCTTTTTCCCTTCTTCACCCGCTCTCTCTCTTCCTCCCTCACCCTCTCTTTCTTTCTTTCTTTCTCTCTCTCTCTCTCTCTCTCTCTCTCTCTCTCTCTCTCTCTCTCTCTCTCTCTCTCTCTCTCTCTCTCTCTCTCTCTCTCTCTCTCTCTATCTATCTATCTAGCTAGTTAGCTAGCTAGCTATTTCTATCTAGCTATCTGTATCTTCTCCTTCTCCTTCTCCTCCTTCTCCTTTTTTTCCCCTTCGTCTCCTTTTCTTTCCTCCTTCTCCTTTTTCTTCCCCCTCCTCCCTTTCCTTCCCCCTCCTCCTTCTCCTTCTCCCTCTCCCTCTCCTTCACCCTTCTCCCTCTCCCTCCCCCCTTTACTCATGGCCAAGTGCCCCGCGGGACCTATACTCTTTTCAACAGCTTCTGCAGAAACCGTTAGGGCATTTCCAGTTTTTTGTTTTTGTTTTTGTTTTTTGTTTTTTGCGAGCTCCATAGACCTTGACTTGGCCAAGGAAAATCTGCCTTAGCCTGCCGTCTCCGCTCCAAGGAAGACCTTCGTGGACGCAGATGAGCGCCGCCGGTTACAGTTTCACGCAGGAGCTCGAGCGGAAGGTTTACAAAGCGCCAGCGATCGACTACAATACCCGCGACGCCGCTTTTCTCCCTCCCCCCCTGCGCCCTCCGCCCCTCCTGCGCTAGTCCTCCTCCCCCTCCCTCCATGCCCACCCTCCCATGCCCCTCCTGTGCTCGTCATCCTTACCCCCCTCCATACCCACCCCTCCTAAGCCCTCCTGCACTTGTCATCCCCCCCCATCCCCCGCCCTCCCACCCACGCCGACGCAACGCCCGTCGTCATCCTCAGCCAAGCGCCCACCCACGGGCCGACCTGCAGGAACCTTTTAACCGCAATTCTAAAATGTCTTGCTGAGATAATGTGTATGCGACGTGTGTGTGTGTGTGTGTGTGTGTGTGTGTGTGTGTGTGTGTATGTGTGTGTGTGTGTGTGTGTGTGTGTGTGTGTGTGTGTGTGTGTGTGTGTGTGTGTGTGTGTGTGTGTGTGTGTGTGTGTGTGTGTGTGTGTGTGTGTGTGTGTGTATGTGTGCGTGAGCGTGTAAGTGTAAGTTTATGTGTGAGTGTGAGTGCAAGTGTAAGTGTGTGTGTGTTTATTTGTTTATCCATTTATTCCTTACTTCCTTTACCTATATGCCGCGTATTAATATTCAACCTAGAGTGACATGTACAGCCGTAAGAACTTCAGTGATCACAAGAGCGTTGCACAGCGTCCTCTCCATAAACAGCAAGTGCACAGGCAGAACCCAGGCGCCATGTGTAGAGCGATCCCGCCATTCGTGAGGTTACCCAACCCGGCTACACCTGCGCGGCCTCTCAGTGAAAGTACCTCGTCATGGCGCAACCCTGACCCGTGCGGCTGGTGTCTCTGGCATAGGCTTTGTGACTGGCGCGGAATGGTGTGTTGCATCGGCCGGCACCCGATGCAAATTGGGGCTACTATGCATCAGGCAGCGACCATGCAGATAATGTAGAGTGTGTAGACTGTGGCATTCGAGAGGCTGGCGCAGACGGTGCGACTCGCGTGAACGAGCGGTGCACGAGCTTACACTCCGGGCGGGCCATGCAGCTCCGGCACACAAATGTCAAGGCGATGTTCCACTTCTGCCTGGAGTCGGTGCGTCAGCGCGACGTGCGCGGCGGCCCTTGCGAACGTCCCTGCAGTGCGGGCTTCCCGAGTCTCCACGACGTCCCGAGAGTCGGATCACTCGTCGGCCTGTCTCGTTGTTCCTCGTGACCTTTCGGGGCAAGAG